GGGCCTGGACCCTGGGTCTGAGGGAGGAGGCTGGGGCCTGGACCCTGGGTCTGAGGGAGGAGGCTGGGCCTGGACCCTGGGTCTGAGGGAGGAGGCTGGGGCCTGGACCCCTGGGTCTGAGGGAGGAGGGCCAGGGTCCGGGAAACCAGGAAGTATCCTGGTAGAGGAAGGCAGAAATTAAACCTTTGTGAGGCTTTTCCCCAAACACTCACCTTGGTTTTGCTCTCCATGAGGTAAGGTGTCCAGGCAGGTGGCCAATCCCATATAGACTAAGAGCAGGGAAGGATGGCCCCTCATATTGTGTGGACTCTCAAAGGACGGATGCCTCAGCAGAGTTCCGAGGCAAGGACCCCCTGCCTGGACTCTGCAGTCAGTGAATGAGAGAAAAGTGAGCACTCGACCTGCATCCCATGCTAGGCACCACAGTCTGTGCCAACTCATCTGACTGTTCAAAACAAGCCGACTACTCCTGCCATTGTATAGGCGACGAAACTCGGTCACCAGGTGGGAAAGTTACTTGCCTATTATTGTACCAGGTATTCGACTGTGAGAAGAGGATCTCAGTGATGACAGTGCCCTCCCAATGATGAGCACAAAGTTGGTGTGCTCTCTTCTATCCCTCTGTTTTATCCACAGTACCCATCACAGGTCTGACCCATAGGAAGCATTGAAACAGGTTCATCTGCAGCCCCGATTCCTTCCAACCTGGCAGATTCCATTGCCAGTCAAACTCCCTCAGCCTGTTGCCTCATCCACCCTCAGAGATCAAATATTACAGGACCGACGAGGTCCTAAGTTTCTGGGTCTGAAGGCTTGAGGGGCCAAGGGGCCCTGGACTCCAGGGCACCTAGGGTCCCAAGTTTCTAGATCCCAGTGGTGTGGAGAGTCTGGACGCCAGAGTGCCTGCCCCACCCTCAAGCTTCTCTGAAAGCATTTTTCACTTACCTGCCCAGACCTGGGAGCCCTGCTCTCTTCTTTAATGAAGACCCCTGGGTCAGCAGTCACCAGCTGTGAAAAGGGGTAGGGGAGAGGGGAGGGGAGAGGGAGGAGGAGGGGTGCCTCACTTCGGTAACTAGGCCCTAATCCTGGCTTCTAGCAGGGGGCGGGGCTACTGATTACCTGCTCTGGGAGGGACTCAGGTAAGGGACAAAGTACTTAAAGGAACCTTAGGACCAAGGGCTTCAGGGACACAGCCCCACATAGAAGCAAGGCTTTCCTACTCAGAGGTATCCAGCGGACTTTATTAGAGTCTTCTCCTCTCTCCTTTCCCAGTCGGGTCTCTCCCTACAGACAATTTGCTTGGCAGAGCCAGGAAAAGAAATCTTGGGTCTCTAGAGATCTACAAACTGGTGGGAACGGAATGCTTTGGTTCCTAGAATAATTGGGCGGTACCATATTATACTATTTCCGGAGGGTGACTGACTTGAACAGCTTGGCCTTGTGATCTTTGACTATTGCTCTTTCTAGAATATGAGAAAAGAAGAGTTCTCACTTAATCGTCTCTTAAAATGCAACAGGAAAAATAAGCATCTATTTTGGAAAATGGGTATCAGAATCTCTGGCGAAGGAGTTAGTTCTTAAACTCAGACTTGAGACTGAGAGCAACTGCCCCACTCTGCCTATTGCAGGCTAAGCTGTCTCCGATATCCATGCCACTTTCCTCACCGGAACCTTCGAGTTGTCACTCACGTTTCCGGGGGGTAGAAAAGAAGAAGAAAGGACTTACCAAGCCGGGCGAAGCGCCTCCGCAACTAGGGGCAGTGTTATTTCCGGTTTCTACTGCCGAGCGGAAATGGGAGGAGTGGAGGGGGAAAAATAGTACTCTTTTCCGGTTCGGGACACAGTAGAAGCAGCGACGAGTCGGATAACCGTCTGTGAGGTGAGCTGCAGGCGGTGTGGGGTCGCGTCGTTAAGATCCCTTCTTGTGGGTGGGGTATTTGAAGTCCGAGGGTCACAGGATAAGACTTCTCACTTCGACTTCCCGGCAATCATTAATAGAGCGCTCTGTAATCACCGAGTGGGAAGCTGAACTACATCTCCCAGCATGCCCTGCATTATATGTCGTCCTCACCCTGCGAGATCTTAGAAAATGTAGTTTAGCTGTGGAAAAGCGCTCCGTCCCAGTGCAGGGTGAAACATGGGACTCCCTGGATTAGTGAGAGTTGAGGCAGGATTCCTCAATCTGCTTCAGTTTTCCAGACAGTGGTGAGGAGGGCAATGAGCAGTAGTGGATGAGGCCCTGAAGGAGCCTTGAAGCAAGTGAGTTTTTTATTTTACTTGAGACAAGAGTCTGTCTACGTAGCCCTTGCTGTCCCAGAACTCACGATGTAGTTCAGCCTGGCCTCAAACTCACAGAGATCCTCCTGCCTCTGCCTCCCGAGTGCTGGGATTAAGGGCGTGCGACACCACTACCCGGCCTCATTTATTTATTTATTTATTTATTTATTTATTTATTTATTTATTTATTTATTTATTTATTTATTTATTTATTTATTTATTATTGTTTGTTTTTCAAGACAGCTTTGTGTAACAGCCCTGGCTGTCCTGGAGCTAGCTCTGTAGACCAGGATGGCTTCAGACTCACAGAGATCCGCCTGCTTGTGCCTCCCAAGTTGTGGAATTTAAGACATGGGCTACTTGGCGATTATTTTAATTTTTTGAGACAGTGTCGCATGCAGTCCAGGGTGGTATTACATTTCACTATATATCTCTGTAGGGAGATTAAGATTTAATTAAGCCGGCCGGTGGTGGCGCACACCTTTAGTCCCAGCACTGGGGAGGCAGAGGCAAAGCGGATCTCTGTGAGTTCGAGGCCAGCCTGGTCTACAGAGTGAGTTCCAGGCAGGATAGGCTCTAAAGCTACACAGAGATACCCTGTCTTGAAACACCAAAAAAAAAAAAAAAAAAAAAAAAAAAAAAATATATATATATATATATATATATGAAATGGGCGTGGTGGGTACATCTTTAATCCCAGTGCTGGGGAGGCAGAGGTAGGTGGATCTTTCAGAGATTGAGGCCAGCCTGGCCTACACCTGATGTTCCAGGCCAGCAAGGGCTGCATTGTGAGACCCTGTCCCAAAAAGGAAGAAAAATAAAAGATTTGTTTATTTTTATTTTACGAGACTGAGTTGGGTTTTTTGTTTGTTTTTTGAGACAGGGTTTCTCTGTGTGATCTTGGCCGTCCTGGATCTCACCGAGATCCACCAGGCACTGCCTCTGAGTGCAGGGAGTAAAGGCGTGGGCCACCGCTGCCCAGCTTGAGTGGGTGTGTTTGCCTGCATGTATGGTTGTGGGCCACTGCTGCCCAGCTTGAGTGGGTGTGTTTGCCTGCATGTATGGTTGCCCACCACTCGCATACAATGCCTACAGAGGCCAGAGAGGGCTAGCAGATCTCCCGGAACTGGAGTTGATTGTGAGCTGCCAGGGGGGCTAGGTGTCAGACCCCGGTCCCGGAGGGCAGCCAGTGCTGTTAGCAACGGCACCATCTCCAGCCTCTGAACTTGTTTTGTTTGGAGACGGGCAGCCGCCACTCCTAGCTCATGTTGTTCGTGTTTTCAGTAAGCTTTATTGGGGGTAATTTCACATAATACATACTTTGCCCACTTAAAGCAAACAATTCAGCGGTTTGCAGTGTATTCACAGAGTTGTATAGACATCACCACTAACAATTTTAGAGCATGTTCTCTGGGTGTGGTAACACACACCTGTAATCCCTCAAGTTCCAGGGCATCTAATGCCCTCTTCTGGCCTCCAAGGGCACCAGGCAGGAACCTGCTACACAGTCATAATCACTCAGTGGTAGAGGCAGCAGAATTAGAAGTTCAAGGTTGTCCTCAGGCTGCAGAAAGAATCAGAGGGCAAGCTGGGCTAAATAAAGTCCTGTCTCAAAAGAAACAATTTTAGGACACGTTTAATAACTCCAAAAGAAATCCTGCCCCACATCCTTGACCTCTTCTGTCTTTCCTGCCCCCAGTCCTTGGCAGTCTCTACACTCCTGTGAGTGCCTTATCTGCACGTCTCTCCTAAGTGCAGTCGTACAGTATGTGCGCTTTTGGGGCTGGCTTCTCTCACTCAGCGTGCTCTTTCTAGGTCCCTCTATGTTGTATCCCGATACCTTGTTTGTGGGTGAATAGTATTCTGTTGTGTGAGATATACCACATTTCATTTCTCCATCAGTTGATGGCCTTGAGGATTGTTACTGCTTTTTGGCTGTTTCAGGTAGTGCTGCTGTGAACATTGGCATAAAATGTTTGTGTGGATGTGTTCTCAATTCACTGGGAGTAAAGTCTGTGGGTCAGGGTCTGTGTTGATCTTCCTCCTCACGCTGATGTGTGTGGCTCCCAGTTTCTCTTCATTCTCACTTTTTAAAAATGATTTCTTTATTTTTGCCTGCATGTATATCTGTGTGAGGGTCCCAGGTCCCCTGAAACTGGAGTTACAGATGTTTGTAAGCTGCCATATGGGTGCTGGGAATTGAACCCTGGTCCTCCGGAAGAGCAGCCAGTGCGCTTAACATCTGAGCCATCTCTTCAGCCCCCCATTCTCACTTCTTAACTATTGGTTGGTTACATGTGGTTATAATAGTAAGATGTGAACTGGTTCTTCATTATGGTTTTCATTTTAATTTTGAGAGCATGCTCGAGTGTGTGTGTGTGAGGGGGGTGTGTGCTGGGGATGAAATCCACAGTGTCTCTCTGAGAGTATTTCAGTGCCCACAGAAGCCAGAAGCACTGCATTCTCCCTGGGGCTGGAGTTACAGGTAGTTGTGAACCATCAGACATTAGTGCTGGCAACAGAGCTCTGGTCCTGTGCAAGAGCAGCAGGTGCTTTTAATCTCTGAGCCATCTCTCCAGCCCCAGTCTTTGTTTGTGTTTGGTTGTTTGGTTGGTTGTTGGCTGGTTTTGGTTTTGTGGATACCGTGTCCCCTCAGTCCAGCGTTGTTCAGAAGTTGCGCTTTTGTAGGACCCAGTTGGAGATTTGTGTTCTCATCAAAGGAGGGGTAAGTGCAGGGATGTGGCTCCGTTAGTAGAATGCACCTAGCATGTGTGAAATCCTGCATCCTGGCCCCAGGATCCAATAAACTGATGGTGATGGTGAAGGCTTGTAACTCCAGCACTTATGAGGTGGAGACAGGAGAAGGGAAATTCAAGGTCATCCCTGGCTAGACAAACTGCTGAGGTGCCTATTTAGCATATCAAAGTAGACCTGGTAGGTTTTCCAGCATCCCTCAGTCCTACCAGTTACTGAGTATGGCTGGCATACCCCTCCCCTCTACCTCTCCAGCCCAGTGGCTGGCTGCCCTTCCTCCAGAGGCTCCCTATATAATCCAGACATTTTGGTTACCCACCCATTTTGGCTCTTGGCCTCCGGGCTGCTGCACTGGTTCCCCTCTCTCTACTCTGCCTTCCCCTCCCCGTCTCCCACATGGCCCAGCTCAGTCTGGTCAGGTCCACTCTGGACTCTCCAGATGTTCCTGCCTCTGGCTGGGCTCTCCCACATCTGTGATAAACTTTCTCCTCCATCCTAGGAGCAGTCCTTTCCTTTCCTTTCTTTTTCATTTCTTGTTTTATTCACCTAGCAAGTTTGGGGCCAACCTGGGTTAATGCGATGGTGCCTCGGAGGACAGCCATCTGCAAAGCAGGAATGGGGTCATCACCAGTACCATAGTACTGATGGCCATGCTTGGACTTGCAGTCCCCATGAGAAAGTGACACACACCTGTTACCCCAGCCCTCAGGAGGCCAAGGTAGGGTGAGTTCAAGGCTAGCCTGAGCTACGGTGTGAGAAACACACATACCTCAAAAAGGACAAAAAGCAAATTTTTTAGTTTAAGTGACTTGCTGTGTGGTGTCCAGTGGCTGGGGGGGGGGGCCTGAAGCCCCATTTTTTCACATTCTGTGCCACCCCGGCTCTCCAGTCCCCACAGTCTTCCCTCTCGATGGCAGCCACCCACAAGCAATGCCTGAGTCAGGCACGGAGATTGTGAAAGGGTGCTGTCCACGTTCCTTACCTCCTACAGGACACAGTGTGTGGTTTGGGTTTTATCTTGAGCCCTTCGGAAAAGCTCCTTGTATCTCTAGCTTGTGTTATTTGGGGGAGGCCTGCTAAACCTGTACCCTACCATTAAGCTAAGTTTCCAGTGCTGGGTCTCTGTTTTCTCACTTCTAAAGTGAGGAAAGCGTTAAGAGACCCTGGAGGAGGACTTGGAGTAAAAAGGCAGACGAAGGTATAGATGACACCCTATCTTAATGTAAAAATAAATATATACATTAAATATATGCATAAAATATCAAAAATAAATATATACATAAAATATCAAAAATAAATATATACATAAAATATCAAAAATAAATATATACATAAAAGCACTAAAATTGAGATAGTGAGGGGCGGGGACCTGACTCAGAGGCAGAGCACATGCCCCGCTCCAAGACTACACTAGCTCCAATCCCATCACACACACACACACACACACACGTCAGACAAATGCACATGTGTCCATTTCCTTGGCCATCCGAGCCTCCAAAGCTTCTAACCCTTACGTGGCCTTAGAAATTAAACTAAGGGAATAAGATAAGAAGGACGAATCCCATAATACAGAGATGGGCGTGGGCTTCTGAAAGGACGCCGCACTCTCAGCCATCTCTCTCTTCTCTTAATGTGCATTAGGGTTCTGCCTGCATGTATGTCTGTGTGAGGACGCCACAGCCCCTGGAACCGGAGTTACTGGAGTTAGGTAGTCGTGAACTGCGTGTCAGTGCTGGGAATTGACACTGGACCTGGGTCCTCTGGAAGAGAGGCCAGGGTGGCCAGTGCTCCCAACTGATGAGCCACGCTCCAGCCCCTTAGCCGTCTCTTGAATTCTAGATCTCACAAGGTCCTCTGCTCTAAGCAGGCAGCTTCCCTTCTAAGCCTCAGCAAAGGAGACACTTAGGTGACAGACAGGAGAGTGTAGCTGTGGTGGCACAGCCTGTGACATCAGGGCTGCAAGATTGACATGTGGGCTGGGTGTGGTGGCATAGGAAGATCTCTGGGACCTCAAGGCCAGCCTAGTCTATAAAGTGACGTCTCAAAAAAAAAAAAAAAAAAAAAAAATTGGCCTGTGGACGGAGATCAGGCAAGTCCGTCCCCCTCCCCCCAGCTGAGGACAGGGCTTGCGCTTGCTAGGCAAGCGCTCTACCACTGAGCTAAATCCCCAGCCCCGGAAAGTCTCTCTAAAGTTAATTGTTATCTCTGTGTGCATTCATGGTGTGCGTGTGCACATATGTGTGGTGCATGATGGGGGCACTGTCACAGCACAGGAGGTCAGAGGACATCTTTGTGTCTCCTTCCATGTTGACATGGTTCTGGGGCTGGAACCCAGGACATCAGGGCTGCACCAAGTGTCTATCACTCATTGTATCATTGCTGTCCCGTTACATTTTTTAATCACATTATTTATTTGTTTGTGTGGATGTATGTTGTGTGTGCACACAGGCATGTATGCCACTACACTTGTGGAGGTCAGAGGACAACTTGCAGGAATTGCTTCTTTCTTTCCATCATGTGGATCTGTAGACAGATTTTTCTTTGGGCCGCCAGCTCCTGAAAACACAGCCTGGAGACTTATTAACATGAAAGCTCAGCTGTGGCTTAGCCTTGTCCCGCTAGCTCCGATAACTTAACCCAGTTAGAGTAATCTCCGCTTTGTCTCGTGGCTTTTTACCGCTCTTCCATCTCGCACCTCCTGTTTCCTCTTTGTGTTCTCTGGCATCTCTCCCATGCCTAGATTCATCTCCTCCAGTTCTCTCTCTGTAATCACCTCCTGCCTAGCTATTGGCCATTCAGCTCTTTATTAAACCAATCAGGAGGCGTCCTAGCAAAGACATGTCTTCCCAATCAGGAGGCGTCCTAGCAAAGACACGTCTTCACGGTGTACGGAAAGATTGTTCCACGGCAGGGATCCTGGGCTTGAACTCAGGTTGTCAGGTTGCAGCAAACCCTCTCCCCCTTGAGTCAGCTCACTGCCTGGCCAGTTTTGTGATTTGTTTTGTTTTTCTGTTGGTATTTTGTTTGTTTGTTTGGTTGGTTGGTTAGTTGGTTGGTTTTTCAAGACAGGGTTTCTCTGTGTAACTCTGCCTATCCTGGAACTAACTCTAGACCAGGATGGCCTTGAACTCACAGAGATCTGCCTGCCACTGCCTCACTGGGCTGTTTTGTTGCTATTGTTGTTGTTGTTTTTAGTTTTTACACTTCTGCGGGCTGGAGAGATGTCGTAGCTTTAAGGGCATTTGTTGCTCTTGCAGAGAACCCAGGTTTGATTCCCAGCACCCACATGGCCGCTTGCAATCATCCGTAACTCCAATCCAGACCTTCCTTTGGCCTCCAGAGACACCAGACACACACAAGTGGTGCATAGACACACATGCAGGCAAAACCCATGCACATAAAATAAAATAAGTAAGTTTTTAGCAGGGTGGTGGTAACACACGCCTTTAATCCCAGTAGCAGGAGGCAGAGGCAGGTGGATCCCTGAGTCCAGCCTGGTATACAGAGTGAGATCCAGGACAGACACCAAAACTACACAGAGAAACCCTGTCTCGAAAAACCAAAAAAGAAAAGAAAAGAAAAATGCCCCTGGGGCCTGGAGAGATAGCTCAGCAGTAGAGGGCCTAGATTTGGTTCCCAGTACCCCTTCCCCTTACCCATGTCAGGCAGCTGAAACTTCAGCTCCACTGGGCACCTGTAAGTGTGTCAAAACGTACACACAGACATACACAGACATAAAATCTTTAGAGAAGATGCCCCCCCTTAGCTGTTCCTCCCACTTAAAGAGGGAGTGGTTCACCAGCCTAGCAGAATCCTCTACCCGAGACGCAGCCAAGAGATGCCAGCCAGCCAGTGCCAAATAGTGCTCAGGGTCAAGGCAGTTGGCGACTAAGAATAAAGCAGGAACTAGCCGGGCGGTGGTGGCGCACGCCTTTAATCCCAGCACTCGGGAGGCAGAGGCAAGCGGATCTCTGTGAGTTCGAGGCCAGCCTGGTCTACCAAGTGAGTTCCAGGAAAGGCGCAAAGCTACACAGAGAAACCCTGTCTCGAAAAACCAAAAAAAGAAAAAAAAGAAAAAAAAAAAAAAGAATAAAGCAGGAACTTGCCCGTAAGGTCACCGGAGCAGAAACCAGGGGACTGGGAGTGGGTGTGAGTGAGAGCAGGCGGCAGGTGCTAGAGGATTGGGGCTGGGAAGGTCAGCGGAGGCTTGGCAGGTGGATGCCAGGGCAGGATGCCTCTTCTCCATAGACAGGCCTGTTTGTTTGCTGTGGATGGAATGTGGCCTTCATGCCTGCGGGACTGACGTTCTCAACAATGAGCTGCATTCATAACAACATCTTGCCCAATTGCCTAGGCTGTGTGTGGTGATATTTTGTTTGTGATCTAACAAATAAAGCTTGCCTGGAGATCAGAGTGCAGAGCTAAGTCACTAGTTAGCCATAGAGGCCAGCCAGTGGTGGCACACACCTTTAATCCCAGCTCTCCTAGCCAGAGGCAGATGGATCTCTGTGAGTTCAAGGCTAGCCTAGGCTACACAAGATTGATTCAATCTAAAAGAGAAACAGAGCCAGGCAGTGGTTGCACACACCTCTAATCCCAGTACTTGGGAGTCACATGCCTTTGATCCCAGCACTAGGGAGGTGGAGACAGGAAGGAGTATGGTTGGGCGGAGAGGAATATAAGGCTGGAGACAGAAACTCATGGTATTCAGTCTGAAGATTCCTGGAGACGGGATCTAGTCCCCTTTTGGCTGAGGATTTCATAGACTTAAGACTCTCTAGTAGTTGCTGGGGCGGTGGTGGCACACGCCTTTAATCCCAGCACTCGGGAGGCAGAGCCAGGCGGATCTCTGTGAGTTCGAGTTCAGCCTGGGCTACCAAGTGAGTCCCAAGAAAGGCGCAAAGCTACACAGAGAAACCCTGTCTCGAAAGAAAAAAAAAAAAAAGACTCTCTAGTGGCTGCTGCTCTGCTTCTCTGATCTAACAGCTTTTACCCTGATATCTGACTCCAGGTTTTTATTTTTATTTGTTTAATTATTTATTTTTGTTTGTTTGTTTTCTAGACAGGGTTTCTCTGTGTAGTTTTGGTGCCTGTCCTGGGTCTCGCACTATAGCCCAGGCTGGCCTGGAACTCACAGAGATCCGCCTGCCTCCACCTCCCAAGCACTAGGATTAAAGGCGTGCGCCACCACCGCCCGGCCCAGGTTTTTATTATTAAGACCAATTAGGATTTGTGCTACAGCTGTTCTTGGATTCACTCTTTAGCCCAGACTGGCCTTGTCATTGTTTATACAATTTTTATTGTATTTTATTATTTATGTGTGTGCATGTGAGTGAGTATGTGCAAGCTTCCTGCTTATGGGGGAGCATCCACACAGCAGCTCACAACCACCTGGAACTCCAGCCCCAGAGGCTCTGTCGCCCTCTTCTGGTCCCTGCAGGCACTCCATGCACATGATGCGTATTCAAACAAGCAGGCATACACATAAAAAATTTTATTTTATTTATTTATTTATTTTTTTGGCTTTTCGAGATAAAAATTTTTTAACAGTCAGAGTCTCCACAGACAGTGGAGTGTGTATCCAGAGGCTTTTCTTTGTCCTGCCCGGTCCCACAGTAAACAGCCGTTTTTGTCCCCCATTCTGCCCAGGGGTGAATGGTCCAACCACTCAGTCTCTGACCGAGAGAGCGAGCAAGAGAGAGCGAGCCCCCTTCTCAGTTTTAACCTGTCACATACCCAGAAAGGGCCACGCTCATTGGGCTAGATATCCCAAAGATCATTGGTTGACTGGAACAAATGCCCAAGGCGTGGTGGTGCACACCTTTAACCCCAGCACTCCGGAGGCAGAGGCAGGCAGGGTTCGGAGTTCGAGGCCAGCCTGGGCTACAGAGTGAGCTTCTGTCTCAAAAACAAAGGGGAGTGGCCCAGTGCTGCGTGCCTTTCCCTCCGCCCGCATCAGACACTGGGGCCGTGTTGATCAAGCTTCTGGGCAGGCAGGCTGCTGTGTCGCTGTGTGTGAGTGTCCTGGGACCCCTTTGTTCCGCAGGATGACGCGGCACGGTAAGAACTGCACCGCCGGGGCCGTCTACACCTACCACGAGAAGAAGAAGGACACAGGTACGTTGGGGAGCTCACCCCGGGGGCGGGTATGGCCGGCCATTCGCTCCTCTGTCCTAGCCTGCCTGTGGTTGCCCTGTGTGTACTAATGATGGTGACCTAGGCAGTGTGGCCCTGTGGCTCATCTAACACACACATCCCATGTCAGTCCCTCTCCCCCCAACTGTTCCCGGGCACCACCTTTGCAGAAGGAAGGCTGAGAGCCACAGTGCTTCCCACCCCAGGAGAGCGAGCCGGCCGTGAGCCTCTTCCTCCCTGCCCCACTGTGAGGGGAATAAGGCTGGCCTCGCCATCTTTCTCGGGTTCCACTCAACCCCCACATTTCCTTGGGAACTTGGTGAAAGGCATGTCCCCGTCCGTCACCACCTTTCTCTGTCCCCAGCGGCCTCAGGCTACGGGACCCAGAACATCCGACTGAGCCGGGACGCCGTGAAGGACTTTGACTGCTGCTGCCTCTCACTGCAGCCCTGCCATGATCCGGTGGTCACGTGAGCAGGGGAGGGGCAGCCGGGCTGTGTGGGGTTCAAGTCTCCGAGCTCAGAGCTCCTCCACCACGGTGGAAAGACTGCATTGCTATAGCTGGGCTGGGCTGGACAGGGAGGGGGTGGGGTGGGGTGCTTTCCTAGCCTGCAAGAAGCTCTGCGTTCATCCCCAGTGCCACAGAAAACCAGGTGTGCTGCCCACCTGTTACAGTAGCACTTAGGAGATGCAGACAGCAGGATCGGGGTTCAAGACAAGCCTCAGCTACATAGCGGTTTAGAGCTGACTTGAACTGCAAAACACCATGTCCCGAAATAAAATGGAAAAAAAAAATGGGCTGAAGGAGTACTATGGAAGATTCCTCCAAGGACGTTTAGCGGTACCCAGGATGGGGAGTGAATACGCTTTGTGGTCCTTAGAGCGGGGAGTGGATGGATACTGGACTGAGGATGCTCAATGTGGTACCCAGAGTGGGGAGTGAGTGGCTAGAGAAGTGAGTGGATGCCTTCATGTGATCAAGTCCAGGCCCCTGCTTTCCCCGTCCCTCTGCAGCCCAGATGGCTACCTGTACGAACGGGAGGCGATCCTGGAGTACATCCTACACCAGAAGAAAGAGATTGCCCGGCAGGTGAAGGTAATGGGTCCTGAGGAGAAGATGAGGGGCCTTCACTGATGCTGGTCTCTGCCTGGAGCACCGTCCAGTCCCATTTCTCTCTAGATGTTTCCAGGCAGCGTCTGCAGGCCAGGGCCTCTGGGGTCCACCCTGCTCACCCTTCTCTAGGAACCTGTGAGCCTTGTGCCCACACCCTCTGCTGTGTGTGCTGGACGCACCCTGCAGGAGCGGCTCCCTGGCTGTCCTCAGCTCCAGGCATTTGGCTTGTGATGCACATGGACACCATCTGTGGGCCGCAGCCTTATCTCTGAAATGGCCACCGGTGTGAAATCAGGGCACCACAGGGCAAGTGGGAGACACAGATACGGTTTCTCTAGGTGCTCACTGTGACCCAGGCCCGTCCCTCCAGGGACAGGCATGCTGGGTGTCTAGGAGGTGTCCTTTATTTCTGTGTGGGGCATACCGTCTGGCTCCCCTTCCTTCCACAGTGAGGGGTTGTTTGTTTTTGTTTGTGGCTAGGGATGGAACCCAGGGCCTCACAGGCCAGACACTTGCTGTGCTACCCTGCTTTCCACCTCTGGCAGCTCGGCATGCTCAGCGCCCCACTCCCCAGCCTCCGTGTCCTCCCCATAGCCCAGTGGGTAGCCAGCCACGCCCTCGTCATGGTACCCCTGTTGGAGGCTTCATGGACCCGGGCATGGTTACTGTTGACACCTGCTGGTGCCAGGCAGGACTGAGCAAGGGGCATGCCTTACCTGCTCTGGTCACACAGGGCGAAGCACACACTGCTTACGGACTTCCAAGTCCAGCCCCGCTGCGGCGGGGGGTTCCCTGGCCAGCCAGCATGCCTCGTTGAGTGCTTACTGGGTGCCCATCAGCGTCTAAGCACTTGAGAAACTCTTGGTAGAGTGCTTGCTTAGCATGCACGAGGCCCTGGGTCCCACCCACTGCCATGTGACCAGATGTAATGACTTGATTGGCGGAAGATGAGGAGTTCAAGGTCACCCTTGAGTTCCATGCGGCCTAGGCTACTTGAACCCCAGTCTCACCTTGAATAGGGCCTCTCAACAGGAGGGCTGTGAGTCCCACACTGTCTGAGTCGGAGACCAGGGATGCCAGGCCGCCTTCCCAGGTGCACACAGAAACTTCACCTGTTGCCAACCCTGCCGGAGTTGGCCCGTCCTCCCGTTGGTGGATGGGGTGGATACGGGGTGGGCGGCTGGGGTGCCGAGCCGGGCCTCTCTTCCCCCCAGGCCTATGAGAAGCAGCGAGCAGCCCGGAGGGAAGAGCAGAAACAGCTTCAGCGAGCCGCGGCCCAGGACCAGGTTCGAGGCTTCCTGGAGAAGGAGGCAGCCATCGTGAGCCGGCCCCTCAACCCCTTCATGCCCAAAGCTGCCGCCCTACCCAACACCGATGGTGAGCAGCCCGGGCCCAGTGCGGGTCCCCCAGGCAAGGACAAGAACAAAGCGCTGCCCAGCTTCTGGATCCCCTCACTGACGCCCGAGGCAAAGGCCACCAAGCTGGAAAAACCAGTGAGCTACCCATGTCCCGGCCTCTTGCCCCTTATGCCCCTTACACGGTGACCCCGTTGACCCTGCCTCTGCCCGCAGTCCCGCACTGTGACCTGCCCGATGTCTGGGAAGCCTCTGCGCATGTCCGACCTGACGCCAGTGCGTTTCACGCAGCTGGACGACTCTGTGGACCGCGTGGGACTCATCACGCGCAGTGAGCGCTACGTGTGTGCTGTGACCCGAGACAGCCTGAGCAATGCCACGCCGTGTGCAGTGCTGCGGCCCTCGTGAGTAGGGTGGGGAAGGGGGCCTGGAGGGGCCCGAAATGCCGCGGGCCTGATCTCCGCGCCTCTCCCCTGCAGTGGGGCCGTGGTCACCCTGGAGTGCGTGGAGAAACTGATCCGGAAGGACATGGTGGACCCCGTGAATGGGGACACGCTGACGGAGCGCGACATCATCGTGCTGCAGCGGGTGAGTCGCCAGCACCCACCCCACCCCCACCCCACCCCCACCCCTGTAGTGTCACACCCTGCCCCCTCCTGCTCCCCCACTCCTCCCCATGCCCCCCCCTTCACACTCTTGCACTCTGGGTTCCCCACAGCACCTTGTGTTCACCTTCCTGTGCACCCCTCCATCCTGGGACCTCTCCCCCTTTGTCAAGGAAACCTGCCCTGTCCGGCCTCTCCTGTGTCCCAGGTCCCCTCCACTACGATCTCCTCCAGCTTGCTCTCCTCCCTCCTCTCCAGGGCGGTACGGGCTTCGCGGGCTCAGGAGTGAAGCTGCAGGCCGAGATGTCTCGGCCAGTGATGCAAGCCTGAGCTGTGACCCAATAAACCTTCCTGTGAATGAACTGGATCTCTGGTGCCTCGCTGTAGACAGGAGGTGTGGGAAGAGTGGGCTCAGCCGGGCGCTGGTGGGCACGCCTTGATCCCAGCACTCGGGAGGCAGAGGCAGGTGGATCTCTGTGAGTTCGAGGCCAGCCTGGACTGCAGAGCGAGTTCCAGGACAGCCAGGGCTACACAGAGAAGCCCTGTCTTGAAAAACTGCAGTGTGGGTCACTCCAGCCGAGCCCCAACTCCTGGGAGCTGCCTCAGTCACCTTTGACCATGCAGAAACCCCGGTAACAGGAACCTGTCAATCAGTCGGGATCTGGGAGAGGGCGCTCTGCCCAGGAAGTGTGGGGCTCGGGGCATAACACACTCCCAAGCGAGCTACTCAAAGAGACCCGCAGACACGGGCCTGCCCGCCGTGTGCCCTTAACTGCAGGACTCCCCTGCAGACCCGGCACGCTCCCACACACTGCCTCATGTACAGTCCTGCCCTCATCTCCTCCCCTGGAGAACTCTCTCAAGAATCCCAACCTCCAGCCGGGCGGTGGTGGTGCACGCCTTTAATCCCAGCACTCGGGAGGCAGAGAAAGGTGGATCTCTGAGTTCGAGGCCAGCCTGGTCTACCAAGTGAGCTCCAGAACAGCCAGGGCCACACAGAGAGACCCTGTCTCAAAAAAAAAAAAAAAAAAAAGAACCTCAGCTTCTCTGAGTCTGTCCAGCTTTCCTCGGTACCCTCCCCCCCAACCCCCTGATTGTTCCAAAGCGACACAGACCACCCACACCCCAACTCCACGTAAAACTCAGCTTCCTTTTTTCTTTTCTTTCTGGACTGGGAAGGGCACACACTAAGCAAGTGTTCAAGAGTTCTTATCTTTTAATTAAAAGCACTTTGGTTATGTGTGTCTGTGGGGCGGGGTTTGTGCATGTGAACACAAAGCATGTACAGGGCCGTCATAACCCCTGGAGCTGGGGTTAGAGGCCGTTTTGAACAGCCTAGTCTAGATGCTGGGACCAAGCTCTGGTCCTCTGTAAAGAACAGTGAGTGCTCTTAACCACTGAGCCATCTCTGCAGACCCAAGTATCTTCATCTTAGGGAAGGGGTGGTAGCCCATGCTTTTATCCCAACACTCGGGAGGCTGAAGCAGGAGGATTGCTGCAAGTTTTGGCCTAGCCTGTGCTACATAAGACTAGCTCGGGGCTGGAGAGATGGCTGAGAGGTTAAAAGCACTGGCTGCTCTTCCAGAGGTCCTGAGTTCAATTCCCAGCACCCACATGGTGGCTCACAACCACTTGTAATGAGATCTGGTGCCCTCTTCTGGCCTGCAGTCATACATGCTGTATACATAATAAATAAGTAAATCTCTAGAAAAAAAAAAGACTAGCTCATGCCTTTAATCCCAGCACTTGGGAGGCAGAACCAGGCCTGGTCTACAGAGCTTGCTCAAGGACAACCAAGGCTACACAGAGAAACCTTGTCTTGAGAGAAAAAAAAAAGACCAGCTCAAAGGAAGAACATATCTGAGTCCTTAAATCTGGGTAAATTCTTGACAGAAAAAACATTGGCTGTGCAATGATGAAATTAATGTGGTAGAAAGATGTCGTTAGTATGTGGCATCTTGTATATTTATAACTTTACATCCTGTAAGTCTATTGCCAGTATTTAAAAATAAAGCAGATGCCAGGCATGGTGGTATGTGCCTGTAATCTTGATCCTCCTGCCTTCCCTGCCAATGTGTTACTTTACCAGGGTGCATCAGGACACCCAGGACATTCCTGTGTGCATGATTTGCTGCTTTGTGTATTATTTTAATAAGATACTGTCAACCACAACCTCCCAAAGATTTGGAGGGCCTTTTAGCTTGTAACCACTAGAGAGCAGAATGCTGTCATCATTGAAAGGCTAAGAACCGGGTTTGAATTCCAGCACTTCCAGAAACAAAACATGATCAACTGGTTAAAAATAGAGCGGCAGGGGCTGGGGAGAGGCCTCAGTAGAATGCGGAGGCCGGAGGACCTGAGTTCGGATGTCTGGGGCTTGCTGCCCATCCACACCGTCCTGCCCCGGGTTCAGCCACAGACCTCTAAGAAGTAGTGTAGACAGTAGACACCCAGCACTGGCCTATGGACTCCACGTGGGGACACACAATAGAGACATACCTAAAGTAACCAGGAAGTTTGGAAAATGCAGAGCAACTGGGGAGTTTCCAATGTGCCACTTTTAGCCTGGGACAGGGTCAAGCCTTGCCAGGAGTGACTGCCAAATGCCCCCAGCCAGACCTGGCGCTGCACACCTGTCACCCCAGAGTTCCAGAGTCCGAAGCAAGAGGATTACTTCCAATTCAAGGCCAGCTGGAAGGGAGGGAGGGGGAGAGGAGAAAGCCAGGGAGGTACCCCGACTGTGTTCATTAAACTCTTAGCTGAACCCAGTTGAGCTGAAGGTACTGCATGGGGTTCCCTCCAAGAAGCCCAACAGGCCTTAGAGCCTCGGCTAAGGTCCAGTGGAAGAACTGATGGTACAGTTGGAGTTCCATCAAGTCAGTCAGCAGCTCAGCGGAAAGGAACGTGGCCGCTGGAGAGACAGCTCTGCGCTAAAGGAACTGGCTGACCTGGAGCACCACATGGGGGTTCACAACCATCTGTAACTCTAGCCCCAGGGGATCTGGAGAATAAAACAGACTCCAGAGCTTAGATAGACCACAGTCTATCTAAGCTGGAGTGTGACTTGGGGTACCTGCCTGGAATCCCCAGTGAGGAACTGGAGTGTCATTAGAGGATAGAGCTCAGAACCTGGGTGCTAACCCTGGAACTCCCAACCCAATGCTATAATGAAAAACATTACTTTGTTTGCTAACTTTAAAAGTTAACAAGCCGGGGGCGGTGGTGGCACACGCCTTTAATCCCAGCACTGGGGAGGCAGAGGCAGGCGGATCTCTGTGAGTTCGAGGCCAGCCTGGGCTACCAAGTGAGTTTCAGGAAAGGTG